GAACTTCAAGGCCCTTGTCCATGGCTTAATACGATTTATTGTATGAAAATAGACAATGATGACTATGAATCGCAGGGTACACTAATTCAGAACGCCATTTTTGGCTTTGCCTGGCTAGTGCATGAGTCTGAAGGTAGAAGGCGATCTATGGAGTAAAGCGTCGGCTGTTCTTCATACCGTATATGCTTGAGCTGCTTCAATAAGAACCAGTGATGTCAACAACTTTTGTGAGTAACGAGTAGACCACCACCTGCCAACCGAGTACATTAACAAATGGAACAAATCTCAATGCCGTAATTATAAATAACTGGTAATGGAAAATAATTACCTCTATCAACCCCTCTCCTGCATTTTCAAGCTCTTAACTTTTCGTTTTGTTCCGAGTATTTGCCCCGCTGCACCGGCCCTTCATTTTTTGTCACAGCGAGCTTTTCCTGCCTCCCCAAAAGTCTAAATGATAGCTGCTCGGAGAAGATTCCGGTCCAGAAAACCTAGAAGGATGAAAGTACTGACTTGTAAACCACCGTAACCCGCAGATATCTGCCTGAGTTTCACCATCATCCCTGTTTGAGATGACATATTCATGCCAGAGACCAGCAGGTAAGTATGTGGAGGCTTTTAGGACTCAATGTACTGGACGAAAAGCGTTGGATTAGTTAGCGATGGGTGGGAGGTTCGACATTCATTAGCTGTGTTTACAAAATGAGCACCTGATATAAATTAGCTATCACTGATTTTAATATGTTGGAAAACAATCGAAAAAGTTGATATTCACATTCCCTCTTCAGTAGGTCTCATTTCAATCCCAGTCCATTCAACAATATGCGGCGAGACGATGCAGGAGGTAAGGCCTAATACGGGATTCGGAATAGTACCTACGGAAAGTGCATTATCCTACAGCTTTTGAGACCAACTTTCCACATGAACATACAGAAGCGAAATATAGTAGAATGCGAGAAAGATGGTCGATACGCTGCGATCACTGCAAAAGCCAAGAACCCTCCAAATGAACATTTTTAATTTGTCTTCGTTCTTTGTCACAAACTTGCCCCTACGTCATCCGTGAGGGTACGAAAATCTGGGATCCTGCTAGTACTTTCGAAACTATGTATTAGTAATTCTGAGTTATCCCAACTCGTGTTCGAGCTATTGTCCGAATAAGGGCTATATGAAACGAAAGTATAAACGGAACCAAACATCGAATACCACTCGTGATTCTATTCAGTGCGTCTTTGGGAAGGCATATTCTATGATTGTTTCTAGAAGACAACGAAAATGATTATAAAGATGACGATGACTACGATACCACGACCACCAAGGGGGAAACTACGACATCAGAAGGGCTCACGACCACAGAAACCACGACTACAAAAAAGAAGAAAAGAACTAAGGCACCGAAACGACCGAAATCAACAACAACGCTCTTCAACACGTTATCGCCGAAGTTCGATCCCAGCAGAGGTAAGTCTTATTGATGAAATGATATGGCGACTGGTCACTTTGTTGAGTTGTGGGTACTTCTTCCCAAGAATGGCGTCGCACTCCTAACCATGCGGATTCGCTCGCTGTGAAAGAAATGGTTCGAGCTTCCAGTGGAAGGATAGGGAAGTCGCCGCGGCCACTGCCGCTTGTCGTGGGCATTCTGGGAGAAGTATCGACAACCCTCAATTTAAGAAACTGTTACTGAATGCGTTCATCCTGAGCCGTAGTGATAAAATATCAAACCAGCTTATCACGGTGAGTGAAAACGAGCATGACCATTGTCTGAGGTCTTGAAGCCTGAAGCCTTCAGACTTTAATTGACTCCATTCTGGAATATGTCACTCAGTATCGTAGTGGCGGCTTTAGTGCAAGTGTTGCGCACACATTTACTATTGTTAACCAGGTGCTGTCAGCGCTTTTACCTCCCAGACAAGTCTAGAACAAATTACCCAACCCCGATTGATGGGAGACTTGATTGGCCTGCGCGGATTATATCGCTGGACCATGCATACCATTGTGTGCGTCACTTCCCACTACAGCACCTTGTCTGGGACTTTGATTAGAAATCGCCTTTGTGGGCGCGTCGCTGAAACTGGTCCAGCTGGTACATGCTGCGAAAAACGTCCCATGAAATTCTGACATTGAAAAAGACGTTCGCTTGCATAGCTTTCAAAAGCATAAGAAAATTAAGCACCCTACCTGAAAAGTAACAGCCGTCAGTGCTTTAGAGGCATTGGCGTCAGCGACCACCTCCTTAGCGACGATTTCATCTCAACAGCCAATACGGTATGTTTCGCTTGATTTCTGTCAGTCTGATTCTGTTACCTTTCTAGAATCTTCGCTCTCATTCCACACATTTCAGGCCTAGAGCGAATGCTACCGCAGTTTCGGATTTCGATTTTATGGAAATCATTTCGAATCTTCGAACAGCATTTGAAGATTTGGATGATGCTGTCAAGTTAGGCGTCGTGGGAGGCCTCGCAATCTTCGTAGCCCTTCTCCTGTACTGTTGCTATCAAACGTGCTGCAATAGGAACCGAGCTGTTCGACATCATGTCATAGTTTTGGAAGGGGGTCATCGATCACGAAGACGATACACGTTTTCACGATCGGTAGGTTCACTGTTAATGTTAAGAGTCATGTGATTACCGATAGCTCCAATGGAAAAGCCCCATCTTGTTTTTTTCAGCGACATTCGTCATCTAGGTCCAAACAGAGGTCCAGAGTGAGTTTGCATCCAAAAGATTATTCCATTTCATTTAGTGTATACAATTCCTGCTAAAGTACATACATATTTCCATTCACAGGACTCTGTACCACGTGAACGAGCGAAGTCTCCGGACCAAATCACTCCAGAGAAACTTAGCAAACAAACAGCCCAAACAGCTGAAGAAGGCAGGCCGCTGGATGAGAAAAGAAAGAGTAACGAAGATCGGCAGGATGATTTCCTCAAACTCAAAGCGACTGCTCCAACTATGCAGACCTCGGAAGAGAATGTGCCCACTGCTGAGGGTGGTCCTAAATTGGCATTCCCTCCAGTGCCCAGGACACCTCCACCTGCCACACCTTTGGGGATGGCTAGTCGCGTCGCTCGGAATTTCAGGAGTTTCTGGCGTAGATCGCATGAAGGTAGTAAACCGCCGCCTATGAATGCCACTCCTAGCAACATATTGGACGCGATGGGTAACGTACCAGAAAATATTCTTGAAGGGCCGCCACCACCACCGCCACCACCACCACCACCCATCGGCGGAACACCCGTTGGTGTTAGCGGTTCGGCAGATGGGTACGAGCAATTGGCGCACTTTCAAAATCCTTATCCTTCGCCGGCTGCTCAGTTCTGACTACGATGAAGCAGAAATGAATTTCGTACTTTAGTTTTGACTCATGATCAACATTCTGCCAATAAACTTGAAAATTTGCACTCTCTTGTTCTTCTCGTTCACATAAAAAGGACCTCCTCCCTTGATGAGCTTTACTAAGAAGTATTTCTTCTCATGGCAGTGGCTATGACTCTTCAGAGACGTAGGAATTTTATTGACTTGTTCGACTCAACTAATCAATGAGTAAGTGATGTAGCTGTCACAATGAAAGGACGCATTCGAGTTCTTTCCGGACGTAACAGTCTTTGACTACGTGTATGCCCTATACGAAGAGTTACTGGCTGGAGCAAGACAGTATCTTAATCCTCCCAGACAAGCCTTTCTCTGATTTACTGACACCGGAGGAATGAAACGCTCGGTAGGCGTAAAAGAGTATCGAGTAGGAATCCGATAACTCGATCAATTGTGGGATAATACGTTACTGAGCTCCACACACATTAACCTTTGAGCTTCCATCGCATTTCAACAAAAACTGCCATATCGCAGAAGTTTTCTGAGCGTTTTTCAACAGAGAGGCTAGAACTGCTGGGTCAAGGGGTTCTCGCAGTCTATGGCCTACTTTTGAAGAAGATCTTAACAAAAAAAGATGCCATTTGCTAAGACACGCTCGGCGTTTGGAAGACTAACCTGTAAGTGGAGCTAGAATAAAGCCTGTTCGGACAATCAGTATCAGGGGAAATTTCCTTCGCATAATTAAAACTCAGTTCTAGAAACCTCCTCATAGATATTCTTCCCTGAAGTGGGAGTGTGAAGTTTTTATACGCTGTTAAATCGCCATAAATCACAAATTCCGTAGCTGAATTAAGAGTTATGGCATTTATTTATGAGAGATAGGCAGCCAAACGAAACAAATTACTTCAAGGGTGAAAAGTTAGAGGAGGCACTTTACATAGAGCAAACGTATATTCATCTATTAAAGGCACAGTTCACTATAATTCAATGGGCGGGAACGTCAATGGTTCTCCCGCCTCTCGATCGATGTCACGTCATCACGTCAGACGAGTGTCGAGACAATAGAGATTGCAACTATTCGTTCTAGGACCCACACACAATCAGCTATCGCCGAATGATGGGGTGATGTTTTTCTCCCATTCTTTTTTCTCTGTTATTCTTTTTGCTGCCGCGATCCCTTATTTAATTTCCTACTCCTAGAGGCTGAAAAGGTGAGCTACTTTTGCTGTTACTAGGGTTTTTTTTGTTTATTTATGCTTATAAGTGAATGAATTTTTGCTTACCATTGTCTGTTATTCGCACCAGGACCCACACGTACGCAGTGAGACACATTGTATAGCTCNTCCGAACGCCCCACTCTTCTACATTTTTCTGGTTTAATTCACGTCCAGCCCGCTTTTTAACGGTTTTTCAAAGCCTATTTTCGCTTTGGAAAGTCCGGTTCACGCAGTTTCTCCACCTTCATCGCACTATTTTCAACCTTGTCTTCCAATTTTCATCATAATCTGGATTACCCAAAATTATCGTGAACTGTGCCTTCAAATTTTACAGGTCCTGGCAGTATGGTACATATACATCTAATAATAATCGCGGCTCCAATCATTTGTGCACATTGATTTTTGGAAATAAATCAGGCCTATATAAAGAGCTGTAGGTACGTACCGTTTTTGTCTGAAAGAAGGGACGAATGGGTCCACGGTCCACGACCGCAGAAGAAAGGCCTAAAAAAGTTGTTCTCTAGAGGAAGAGGATTCCTAAACCGTCCATTGCGCTGGCCTGACCATGTCTTTTTATTCGTCTGGGTTTCCTAACAGGTTTTCTGATTTGACAAATCATTTGAAAATCACCCAATGACGTCAACTTTGATACCCATGTAGTCTACCTAAGTAGGTTCTAGCTACTTCCCCAGAGTTTTTTCCGAGAGACTGACACGGAATTACTCACTCCTACGGCACAATCGTTTGAGAGGAAAGTTTACAGCTCGCTGAATACCCTAGTAGTGGTCTGTTTTTGATAATGAGTCGTTCCTTCTTGGGAGTGTCTTACTCATTTGGAATGCATGATTCACTCATCAATTCGACAACATTTTCCACTGAGTATAGCAGTGGAAAACCGTGAATTTCGTAGACGTCGGAGTCCTGAATCACGCATATGCACAAGTCTTTTCAACTGGATAGCTTCCTGAAGGTCCGGGAAATCGAGCCTGAAGTACCGAAGCACATAGTTTGAAGTCCCTTACTTTCTCCACTCGATTCAAGTGTCCCTCGCGCTTAAGAGCATTCTACAGAGGAAATGTTTCGTTAACAATGAATATCCTTCAAAAAATAAATATTTCTGAGCTATTCTCGAGTATAACTGAGGAATTATGACCTCAAGGCTGCTCGCTCACATTTGGGTGGATCAACCACCCGCGAAACTCATTTTCTTAAGTGTAAATAAGCTCGGATCCTTTCCTGATCAATCGTTGCTAAATACTTTTGGCTTGAAATTTCCCTTGAATCATAAATACGTAAACTTTTGCACGCACCATACACAACTCCAGCAACATTACTCCTACCGGCATGCCGACGTTAGAGCTACTTCTCTGATGAACACGAGACATTCAAAGGTGTTCTGTTTAGGCCACGTCAGTGTTTCTGGAACTGAAGAAGATGTAGAGTATATCCCATAGAAAAAAGAGAGGCCCAGCTGTATCTCAGTCCCGTCTGAAGGATGCCCCACGCATTCGACTTCCATTCAGAATCGTGGTGGCGTACTTAATGTGTATATTCCCTATACATTGAATTGCGGTGGCCAGCCGATATAGAAGTCAATGCTTTTATTCTCCCGAAAGTCTGGTACCAATTGGGCGTGCTTGGAAGGAAGGAAGGCTTAGTTGGCCTAAGTGGGGATTCGAACCGTGACCATGCCTGTAAGATAGTGCGCCATTTGCCACTGCACCACATGCACCCAGTTAATAATAATAATAATAATAATAATAATAATAATAATAGTAATAATAATAATAATGGTAATAATAGTAATAATAAT